GAACAACAAAAAGTGGTAAGAGTCAACATATATATTTTAACATAAATATAAGAAATGTTGACAATAGAAACATAATTATATATTTAATATGACAAAAGTATAATATATAACAATGATAATATAATAAATACAATATAATAGAAACCAGGGTCTAAGTAACAAGGAGGTGGAAAGAAGTGAAAATATGTTTGTTCCACATTTATCATTGGAGAAAGTCAACAATACTGTATAAAACTGACATTTTCAGTTGTTAAACGTAATTCAAACTCAAAGTTTTTCTTAGTCTTTTCTTTTAACTTCAAGAATAAATACCTCAGAGAAGAAGCATTTATCTGTTAGCAATTCATTGAATTTCAGGTATTTAACTTCTTTCATTACATTTGGAAATATTATATGTTTTTCTTCTTACATAAATTAACATATCATTTTCATACTACTTTTAGAAAATTATTTCTTTCTGTCCATGTATAACCATTATTTCTAATTTTTTTTGCCATGCCCACGTATAACATTTAATTATTATGTCTACTCTCTTGGTATATATGTTTACAGAGGCATCTAGAACGTACATAATTAATTGATGGTGGTTATATTTGGATGGGAGATTTTGTGTGATGTTTTAGCTTTCTTTTCTTTTCACTTGGATGTTATAAAGAATGACAATGTATTACTTTTACAGGAATAGTCACTTTTTAGTTTTCAAACATGGGGTAGGCAGAATAAATATTTGAAAAAAGAAAAAAAAAATATATATATATACATATATATATATATATATATACAAATGTACGTGCAAATATACCTTGTATTTTATCTCCAGGTTACAATGTGATTTTGAATTTGTAACATACCTAATAATAATTATATCATGATGTTTTTGTTTTGTTAATATCTAAAGCAACTTCTATTTTTTCAGCATTTCCTATGTGCCAGGCATATGCCACATACTTTTTTGCGCGCGTGCGCACACACACACACACACACACACACACACACACACACACACACACACACACACATCTGATCCTGAGATAGGATTGAAACTCTTGGAAGTTCTGCTACTCTATCCCTATACTTTCTTCTTCATCTTCCTTTCACCCCCATGAAGTGACTCTAGAGAATAAACCTTTGAGGAGTAGAATCTCAGCTGGCTCAGGAAATACATTTGAAGAAGAAAAATACTTGAGTGTTGAATCTTGCCCCCATTCCCTCTTAGCCATTGTGATTACTAATAGGACAAGGGAGAATCACTGAAAATATCAAGAACTGGTATCTTAGGAAAAAAGTATAAGATAGTCATAACATAGTAACAGGTTCTATTTCCTCTTTATATTCAGAGGAGTTATCTTTACAAGTACCCTGGCCCTTAATACTCAAGCCGTAGTGGCCTCTTCCAAAGGTCCCCAACTATTCCCTGAAAGCTGACATAGGCACTGTGCTGAGAACTTGTCATAGATAATTTATTCCTCACAACAACTCCACAAGGAGCTACTAAAGTCAGCTAATAAGCCACATTGCTGAGATTTCATTCTTGATATCTGCTTTACCCCCAAACTCTATGCTACAGAGTGTCCCAAAGCACTTTAACGAAGAGAAAAATGCATTGGCTATCAGCAGATTTGCCCACTGTGAAAGTATAAAAGGTAAGCAAAAATGTGCTTCTATCTCAGTGACTACTACTATGATTTGTCTCTGTGTCATAGATACAAAGTATCATAATAAATACTAGCTCTGTAGCAACTTTCTGATCAAGGCCTAATATATGTGATATGTGTCTCAAACATGAAGCTAGAGCAGGTGGAAAGGTACACAGACTCCTCATGGGGCAGTATTTATTTTACTGTGATGTAGCATAAAGGATTTATGACCAAAACCATAGTCAAAGAACCAACAAAAACAGTAACTGTTTATGAGCAAGTCCATGAATATTCATTCTAATCACTGTACAGCAATCAATTAGCAGTATGCATGCCAAGAACAATAGGAAATCTGAGGCTACAGATTGCAGGACTGCATAAATCATCATTTGTGAATGACATAACTAAAGATAATGCATTTTCCTTTCTGGATGAAAAATTCATTTTATGATCTGTATTAGAATAAATATAAGGGAAAAACATAGAGAAAAAGCAAGATTTAGACCTTTTGTGTCTGCTCCTACAAATATAGGTCAAGGAAAGCATTACTCACATTGTTTGATTATACGATTTAGACATTCATTATTTTGTTTACTTGAGACTGGAAGACGAAACATGAGCCTACCAAACTTCCTAATGTTTTATACAATGCAGCGGGTTTTTAAAAATTAAGATTTAATAAATTGAATGGTTATTTTCTAAGTTTACCACTCAACAATATCAAGTGGTATGATGTGTTTTGGTAGTTTAAATTGTGTCATGTTTCAACCAATTGTTGGTAGAAAACAAAATGTTAACCATAATCAGGATCAAAAGCTTCTTAAAGACAAGCTAAACCAGAACTATTAAACAAGTAAAATATAGTAACCATAGATAAGGGAATTCAAAACTATCACTGACTAAAAGTTAATCAATGCCAGACTTTTGCTATATCTTCTTTGGAAACGTCTTAAGTCATTCATCTTTTCATTATTCTAAATTTCTAACACCTTTCATGAAAGAATGTGCAAAAATAACAGTGATAGTAGTTGGGGGGGGGAGAAGCAGATGGGATAGTCAACAAACTGCATATGCGTGTGCGTATGCACGTGCAGTCAGTAACACAAAAGCACAGGTCCCATTCCAGACCTAAAATGGCTGAGTTGCAGGATGTTGTTGCTTGGTGACCAAACAGTATCTCCTCGGCCACAGACCAATCTCAACATCAGTGGCAGATATGTTCCCTCAGCTTTAGACATGGCTAGAACAAATATTAAAGGGCATGTTTATCTTTTCTAATAGTCAACATTTTAATTTTAAGTCAGTTGTTAGTAGCTTGATTTTTTTCATCAGTTAAGTTTAGGTTTTAGGATAAAGAGTATTTTTGCAAAGCTACATCTCTTCTTTGGGGGAAAAAAAGAGGTAAAACCAAGTTGCTTTAACTATGAGACTGAAAGATAGTCCTGTTTCAATTAAGTCTACCTGGGGTGTCTACTCTGTTCCAGTATAACCTCCCAGGTGCCATCCATCTTTCTTTCTTTCATTAAACTAAAGTAGTTAATTAGCCTCAGCCGGTCCTCTCGCCTTTTCTCTCTCCCTTTTTGCAGTAGTAATGACGTCTAATTATCAGCAGCAGTAGATTACTACTACATCAGGAGCAAAGTTTCTCTCACTGACAGCAAAGCCAGCCACAAACCCTCAAATCTCAAGTAGCTGAGAAAGATTCCTACTCTACTTGGAAATACCGTTCAAATATGGCATTTTATTTTGACCAATGTATGCCTTTAAATTAAGAGAAAAGGTATTCTTTTTGTCTCCTCGTGATGATACTCTTGCCATTACAAAGAAAAATGAACACATTGTTAAGAAAGAAATAATTTGAAATGTGGAAAAACACATGATAAGGGGGATCTTTTATTTATTTTTTACCTCATTGAAATGATGATTGGCTGTCTCTCAGAGAAGGAGGAGCCTATAATTCTATGCCAGAAGCGGTATAAATTTCATAAAGAGCAATAGAAGAGTTTGTAAATTAAAAACTTCTTCAATATTTCAAACCAGGGTTGAATGAAAGGCAGATCTCTTAAATACTCTGTGGAAACCATTATCTAAGAATATCATCTGATGAATTACATCTTCTCCCATTAATATATGGAATCTTTACTGAGAAGAGAAACACATGATACTTTGTCATTACTCCTGGAGCTGTCACTTTATGTTAGATGTCTTAGCAGTCCTTCTTTAACAACTTTGCATTAACTTTTGTCTGAAAATAGGGGTATCTGAGCATATGAACGCTTGTTTGAATAACTGACATTTATGATTATCTTAGTAACTCTAAAATTATTACAGAAATTATTTAAATAACTTAATCTTTCAAAAGGATACATATGTTAACACACATAGTGGAGTAGCTAGAATCATACAAGTAAAAACTCATTACCAATACACAAATGACACTATCTGACAGACAGAGGGACCTAAGTTTAACATAAAAGGAAGGAAACACAAACTTCCCAGCTGGCAATGTTTCTTTAACACATATATAATAGTATCAAACAATGCCTTAAGTAGATATGTCTTAAATGATATTTTATTCATTCAATTAGCTCAATGTTGTCCAAAGGAAATACATTCTTATGTTTTGAACTCGAATTTACTTTGTGTAACAATAAATAATTTTTTTTTTTTTTTACCTTAGGTTCTTAATGTTATTCCCAATACAAGCTAATCAAAGCCCTTCATTTCTCTACGGCAGATTTCTGGCTCATCCAGATGTAAATAAACCTCCATTCTAATTCATGCCAATCTAGTCCTCATTAATTAGTGAAGCCAGACAATAATCTCACCATTGTCTGTAGCAGTGCCACATGTTAAAGGAGAAGCCTACATTTATGATTCCATCTCCTAAAAACCTTCCAACAATCGCACATTTAAAAAATACAAAAAAAAAACCAAAAAAACACACAGAACTTTCACGTGTTTCCATTTCACTTTTATTTCCATTTCCCAATTTCTATATAAATTTTAAGAGAAATACACCTCTTTCAAGCAACTATTTCTAATTTAATTCATCCCAGGAAACCATAAACTGATTTTCAAACCTAAAAGAGTCCTCCAAATAAGGTTGTCTTTAAAAATATAATCTCACGCACTATTTCCAATTTAGCAGAGCTCCATTGGAGACAGACTAGCTTTCAGGACGTCTCCCTTCTAGCCTCCTGCAGGAATATCGCAAGGGCCGACAGTGGCCAGTCAGGAAGCGGGTAGTTAAAGGAGCAAAAGCGCAAGAAAATCCCGAAGCGAGGCCAAAAAAAAAAAAAAAAAAAAAATACAAAGGATGCCAGACAGCCTCCCCCACCCCTCCTCCAGGCGGGTACCCACCGTGGCATGATGCAGAAAGGTCTTCTGCATCTGAGCTGCAATCCTACTTGTAGCCCACAGTCGGTCCCCATCTTCTCGCGCGGGGAATCGACGCCGCCGCCGCGGCTCCCCAGCCCCGCCGGCTGCTGCGGCGTGAGGCTGAGATGGACGCGCCGGGCTTCGCCAGCGCCTCGCAGCGCCGGGGCCGGCGCTTTGTGGCCGTGAGACTACAGCCACCCCAGAAAGAGGAACCCCCCCCACACCGCTCGATCGCGCCCAAACCCATCCCTCTTTGTTGTTCATCTTCTAGCGGCGGTTTTATTTGTGGAGGGGGGGGAGGGAGTGAGGAAGGGGGGGCGGGGAGGAGGCATCTCTGGGACCTTATCTACAATCTAAACAGTCGTGGCAACCATCTCTGGAAGCGATCGGGGCGCTCGCACTGCCCCGCGTCTCCGGGGCGGCGATCTAACAATAAACACCCCCCCCCCCCCCCCCCCC